TGTCTGGCGAGCGCACGCACCCTATAGGGAAAACCTCTCCAAAAAAAAAAAAAAAAAAGATCAAAGTATTTTTATAAAATTTGGTTGATAAATGATAAGTCCTGATGATAAGATGAGAACCCTAAATTCCAGTAGAACAATGAAAAATTTCCCAAAGAGTGGGTATTTGAACATAAGTATTGCTGAGGAATTCAGATAGTCTGTAAATATTTTAGCAAAGGTGGCGTTCCAGAGCTTTTAAGAAGTCTAGAAAATATGGGGAACTGCAGTTAGTGTAATGGCTATGTTGCTGGACTCCCATGTAGACGACCACGGTTCAAGTTCCAGACTCGGTGGCTTAAACCCACACTGAGCGCATGTGCACGCATGCCCAAGATCCCGAGAGGAGAATGGAGGAGAAGGGATTGCAACGTGGCCATTCCCCTTGGGGGGTGATTTCTCCCTTTCTGTCTCTCTGTCTCACTATGTCTTCCTGGTGAGCACATGCGCCCTATAGTAAAAACCTCTCAAAAAAAAAAAAAGTCTAGAAAATATGCATAACAACAAACACAAGCTAATTAACACTAGATAGTAGTTGAATATATATGTGTATATGCACAACTTCAAAAAGTTCTTGGGAAATGGAATTGAAGTATGAGTTTATTTTGGTGCAAAAATATCTTGAAATCCATGCATAATTTTTTTCATGGTACTTACTTTCTGTGAACTTTTTAAAGACTTCATATTTTAGTAGCTAAATGTAACTTATTTAAAAATAAATCTTGGGGGCCAGCAAATGTGGTTAAGGTGCTGGTGGTTAAGCTGGTGTGGTGGTTAAGGTGCTGGATTCCCACATGGTCGACCCCTGTTCAAGACCTAATCTTGCCAGTTTGCTTAGTCACGTCCTTCTTTCTCTCTCTCTCTCTCTGGTCAAATTAAAATAAATAAATAAAATTAAATAAATACTTCTTTCAAAAATTAATTTATTTCCAAATTTGGTTTAAAGCTATTTTACTTATAATTTGTAATTCTTTTTGATACTTATTTTCTTTTCATCAGCTTAAAAAATAAGTAGCTAGCACTCAGTGCCAATACTCTATTATTCATTATTAACATTTTGAAAGAACTAACCTGGCTCTTATTAATGAATAGTCTAAGTTTGAGGCAGCAGTCATAGGCAAAAGCTAAGTGGATTTTTTTATGTTAATAACTACAGAATAACAAGAACCAACTGTCTGTTGTCTGTAGCCATAAGACTGTAAACAAACTAAGCTGATTATAGGGACACATAAGCCAGGCTATTCCAGGCACACCCATGGACAGGTTTAACTATTAAGCTGTTTGAAGAAGGGAGGTTTTTGATTTCCCCTCATTTACATGATAAATGGAACCAAGATTAGAATTCAGGGCCATGTCTATAATTTTCTCAAGACCAAATCAGGTGGAGCTTTGGGGAAGGTAATGGGACAAGGAATTGTCAAAGTAGACTTTAACTTCTTCTGTACTCTTATTTATAAGGAGATTATATTCATTATACTAAATAGGTGATTAAAAATCAACTTGATGGGGCTGGCAGGTGGTGTGGTGGTTAGGGGCACTGGACTCCCACATGGCTGACCATGTTTTGAGTCCTGGACCTGGCGGCCTTCTCACTTTCTCTTTCTCTCTTACTCTGTCCCTCTCTGATAAAATTAAAATTCTAAATTCTTTTAGAACTATTTTATTTAATTTTATTCACTCATTTATTTATTTGTTTAAACTAGAGAGAGCAAGCAAGAAAGAGAGAGGGAAAGCGAGAAAGCAAGACACCAGGACTCAAACCATGGTCAGCCATATGGGAGTCCAGCACCCTTAACCACAATGCCACCTATCAGTCCAAATAAAATAATTCTTAAAAAAAAAAGAAGAAGAAAATTGAGGGACCTGCAGGTAGCGTGGTGGTTGAGGCACTAGATTACCACGTGGTCGACCCTTGTTCCAGTCCCATACCTGGTGGCTTGAACATCACGTGGGGAGTGTGTGTGTGTATGACTACAGTTCCAGGAGAATGGAGAATGGATAGTGGGAGTGATTTCTCACTTTCTCTTTCTTTCTCTCTGTAGTGAGCACAGTGCTCTTGCATGTGGCAAAAATCCTAAAAACAGACAGACGAAAGCTCAATTTAGGAAAGAAAGAGTTAAAAAAGAGGGCCAGCCTGTGGCCTAGTGGTTAAAGTGGCCGGATTCATATGGCTGTTGGTGTGGAACTGAATCCCAGACTTGATTGCTTAAAAAACGTGCAGACATGTGCACGCAAACCCAAAATCCAGAAGGGAGGGAGAGATGGAGGAGAAGGGACTGCAGTATGACCATTCCCTTTGTGTGTTGATGGGGTGGGAGGAAGGTGCTTTTTCTTCTCTCTGTCTCTTTGTCTCTCCGTGGCAGGCCCACATTACCTCTGGCAATCAACCAATCAATAAACAAATAAATAGAGTGATGTAAAGTGTTATGAATTTAAATTTATGAGCTTGTATCTTCTGGGAGTAATTGATTTCTATTTAAACAGCTTATTTGTTTGGTATTATTGAGGAACATATAAAATCACTCTAGGGATCCAAATGGAATGCGAGTGAAAGCAAAGAAGGATAATTTAAACTATTTGGGTCATTTGAAAAGACACTGGAGGATAGAAACTTGCCTGAGACTCACTCCCCAGGAAGTAATGGGTTGACGAGGATGCCAGAGTCAGTATAAACCCACTTACTGGTAAGTAAAGGCAAGTCCCTTAAACTTCACCTGCCTTGGTTTTCTCCCAGCAATTCAAGGGAAGGTTAAGGTGGACTTTTTCTTACAGAAATAAAATAAAAATGAATTTCGAAGAGAGAGAAAAAAGACACCTTCAGAAATAAATTCCACGTTAGTGACCAGCAGATGGCGTAATGGTTATGTTACTTGTTACCGTTCGAGTCTTGGTCCTCAGCTTAAACTTACGGCAGGCGTATGTGTCTGTGTGTCTAGGATCCTGAGAGGAGAACGGAGGAGAAGGGATTGCAACGTGGCACTCTCCCTGGGGAGTGATTTCTTACTTTCTGTCTCTCTGTCTGCCTTTGTCTTTCTGGTGACCGCATGTGTCCTATAGCAAAAATCTCTAAAAAAAAAAGGAAAAAAATAAAAAAGAAAAGAAATAAATTCCAGGTTACAGAGTGGAAGAGTATGGTTTATTGATGGACCTCCTTCCTGCCCCAGCACTGGGGCCTGACACGTTTATGGGTTTCTGAACCTATAAAGATGAAGACCAAATCATGAACACTGGCCTCAGCAGGTGTTCTGTTTTGTTTTGTTAGATAGGGTCTAGCTGGGTCTTTATCCTCCTGCCCTGGCCTCCTAGGTGGACTATAAGTACATTCCAGACCCAGATGATTTCTAAGACAGGATCTCCCTATGTTGTCCAGGTCAGCCTGGATCCTCCTGCCTCAGGCTCCCTGAGTCACCAGGATTACAGGTGTATTTCAGCGTGCCCAGCCTTCAGGTTGGACCGGGAAAGCTGGGCTTTCATGTGGCCCCACCCTGCAGAGCAAAGGGTCTTAGCAGTGCCATGGGACTTCGCCCCCAGCAGGTCTTTTTAGCTTTATCTCCACCCTCTTCTCTCTCCTGTTTCTGTAGCCCACGACTTGTCCTGGGAGTAAACCAGGCAGTATGCCTAAAAGCTTCTCACTTTTCGACTGTGTTTATGGACTCACTCGAGCGTTACCTCGTCTCTAGAGCTCCCTCTGACTATCTCCTGGAAAGCTTACTACTTCGCCATTGTGTTTCTTAGCCCTTTATCTGTATCTTTTTCTCTTATACCTTTTGTGTTGATTTCCTCACTGGCTATTAATATCATAAGAGAGAGTGACTTATTCTTCATTTGATCCTCAGAGTCTAAATGTCTAGCACTCAGAAAATACACAATAATTTTTGAAGATTAATTTTGAAAACTTTTGCCAGAGGGTATCTCTCTGGAGAGAGACAGAAACAGAGAGAGAGGAAAAGTGAGAAAGCAGAATTCACACACACACACACACATCCCTCCGCTCCACCCCACCGTGGGGATTGGTCACACCTTAGTTCCTTCTCCATATCTCCCTTCTTTGGGGGATTTCGGACACACACAGCGCCCAGCATGTTTCTGAAGCCTCTGGTTCTGGGACTTAACAGTTCACTTGTCTATTGGGATCCAGTCTCTTTAACTACCAGGCCGGAAAGGCCAGCCCAAGCATTAACTATTTTATTTTATTTTTATTTATTTATTTTTAGTTTTGCTGTTGGGTGAGTGTGCTCAGCAGAGAGAGACGGAGAGAGAGAGAAAGTGAGAAGCACCTCTGGAGGGGGAGATGACCATGCCATAATACCTTCTTCTCCCCTCTCCTCTCAGGATTTTGGACATGCAAGCACACACATCCAGCATGTTTTTCAAGCTGCAGGGTCCGGAACTTGAACCAAACAGTTGGTCAGGTGGGGTCCAGGTGCCTTAACCACCACTCCACCTGGCTGGTTCCATATTTTTTAATTGGAAAAGCATTTTTTTTAAAGGGCAGTAATCTCTTTTGGAAAACTGTAAGCAACATAGGTACCGCCTGGCTGTTACGTGAACTTGACTGCAAGTACAGCCTAAGCTATTAGTTTTGGCTACGCTAGGAAAGAATATAGGTATGCTGCTAAATTCTGTGTCATTATGAAAGGTCAGTACAAACTTTGAAAAAACTATTCCACTTAGCTAGTATTTTAAGACTTTCCATTTAGGCATTTAAAAAATAACAAATCAGGCAATCAATTATCTTTAAATGTAGAGGTGTTAGCACAATTGCTTAACTTTGTATCTAGGAACTGCTTATTGGGACATTGCACTAAGTAAAACAATAACTTTTCTTTCTTTCTTTCTTTCTTTCTTTTTTTTTTTTTTTTTTGTAACCACAAGAAGCTAAAGTAGACTACCAGCATTTTGAGAGCTTGAGAAAACAGCTTGAGGAAAAATGAAGCTCCCTATTTTCATAGCAGATGCTTTCACAGCAAGAGCATTTCGTGGGAATCCTGCTGCTGTCTGCCTCCTAGAAAATGTAAGTACTTGGTTTTGCAGTGCAGTGTCTGAAATTCTAGATCTTGAAGCAATTATTACTTTTAAAAAGAATCAAATCCACCTGTTTATTTACTTCTTTGGTTTGTGTTCTTTTCATATCGTTGGCATTCATGTCTGCCAGTTGTTTTTTTGTTTTGTTTTGTTTTTAAAATTATTTCATTTGATTTATTCATTTATTTATTTTAACTTGTCCAGAGAGACAGAGAGAGAGGGCAAGTGAGAAAGCAAGCTGCCAGGTCTGGGACTTGAACCATGGTTGGTCATGTGGGAGTGTCCAGCGCCTTAACCACCAGACTACCTGCTGGTCTTGTGCAAGTTGGTTTTGACCAAAGTATATGAGAATGCTTGTACTAAGTTAGTTCTAAGGAAGTGAAGAGTCAGATAAAGAAGAACTAAATTCAATTAAGAAAAGAATACCAAAGAAACAGAAGTCCCTTTTACCTTTAGGTTTTCTTTCAGTTACTATCAAATGTTGAGGAGAATGAAATTAGATGATTGTTATATGACTAGCTGATGATGCATTTAATATATGTATGCTGATGTGTGTATTACATGACTGATACTTAGAATAATAGATATTAGCAGGATATCTTTAACTTTACTAAAGCTCAGACAATTAGAAATTCTTTTAAGTAGAAAGGTAGAAGAAATTAAGCTCTAATGTGTGGAGAAGTTAGCTTACTGACAGTCTCATTTTAATAAAAAAAAAAATTGAGGGACCAGCAGGTGGTATAATGGTTACATCCCTGGACTCCCACATAGTTGACCACAGTTCAAGTTTCAGACCTGGTGGCTTAAAACTCACACCAGGTGCCTATGCATGAGTGCCCCAAATCCCAAGAGTAGAATGGAGGAGAAGGGATTGCAACATGACCATTCCCCTTGGGGAGTGATTTCTCACTGTTCCTGTCTCTGTCTTTCTCTCTCTGGTGAGTGCATGTGCCCTATAGTAAAAATCTCTCTAAAACAAAAACAAAAACATTTTTTTTTCTGGTCCAGTTAACATGGTGCAGAGATAACACCATGCTTTGCAAGGCTGAAAGCGACATGCCAACTATGGGTTTAAATCCTTGGGTCGGCTTAAAAGCATGCCAGATGCATGGGTGCCCAAGATGCCAGGGTGCTGGAGGGCTGAGGATCATGGTGTGATAAAACCAGTTGAGTGTGCTCTCTCTGCCTCTCTGTCTTGTGTATGCATGTGTTATCATGAAGGAAAACTAATTAAAAAAAGCCTTTTGGTTTAGAATAAGTATTTTTGACTATTTTTATCTATTTAAAAAATTATTTTAAAAAATTTACAGTTACATTCTCTTATTCCTCATACAATTACTAAGTGTAAGGAATTTAACGTTAAAAATAATACTATAGAGGAGTCAGCAGGTGGCATGGTAGTTAAAGCACTGGACACTCCCACATGGCTGACTATGGTTCAAGTCCTGGACCTGGTAGCTTACTTTTTACTTTCCCTTTCTCTCTCGATGTGTGTGTATATGCGTCTCTCTCTGGTCAAAGTAAAATAAAATGAATGAATAAATAAAATTAAATAAAAATAATTCTTTAAAAATACTATATGATTTGAAGCATTTATTTATTTATTTGGAGAGGGTTTTTTTGCTGTAGGGTGTGTGCACTCACCAGAAAGAGAGAGATAGATAGAAAGCGAAAGGGATGGCCACACCACAATCTCTTATCCTCCATTTCTTCTTGGGATCTTGGGCATGCACACACATGCGCCCAGCATGAATTTACGCCACCTTGTCTAGGACTTGAACCACAGGCGTCTACATGGAAATCCAGTGACATAGCCATTAACGCCAACTGCTGGTCCCAAAGCTCATCTTTATAGTTCATTAATTATTCCAATTACATTTTTTGTAGAAAAAAATTCTACAGAAAAGCTTGTCGCTTGATTAAAGGAGACTGTAGGGCTGAGGCCACTGAATAAAATGTGTGATAATGGATTAAACCATGAACAAGTGCAGAACTTTATCATATTGACCACAATTCAGTGGTCAGTTAGCCTGTTGTTCACATGTTCTATAAATATTTATATCTCCCACAAACCAAGTTCTGGGCGAGGGGCCAGAGGTGCAAAGATTAACAGGTTTGCCTGCCCTTCAACTGCTCAAAGTCTATTGGGGGAAACAGAAACATGTAAACATGATCGTTGCTTAGTAGTCACCATAGAGGCTAAAAGACTAAAGTTACCAAGCACACAGGACTCAGAATGGAACAATATATATATATGTGTGTGTGTGTATGTGTGTGTGTGTGTGTTTTTTTTTTTTTTTTTTGGGGTTTTTGTGTTTTTTTTTTTTTTTTTTTTTTAGAGGTTTTTGCTATAGAACGCTTGTGCTTGCCGGAAAGACAGAGAGAGAGAGAGACAGAAAGTGAGAAATCATCTCCCCTCGATGGCCATGCCGCAATCCCTTCTCCTCTATCCCCCTGGGGGGTGATTTCTCGCTTTCTTTCTCTCTCTTTCTGGTGAGCACACATGCCCTATAGCAAAAAACGCTAAAACAAACAAACAAACAAACAAAAAAACCCACCACCTTGTAAAGAGTAGTTCGATGTAACCACCAATTATTAATTTTATATTTACATTGGTGGAGACAGGATAGGTGGGGCATGCAAAGTGAGCGTGAGTTTCAGGTTTTATGATGGAGTTGCAGTGATATGGCATCCCTCAGAGCCACTGGAGCAAGTAAAGATGGCCTATGGTTTGAGTGCTTCATTGTGTGGACATAACTTTAACTTTTCTATAGGAAATCTGGGTGCTTCAGAAGGAATCTCATTTCTGGGAACAGCAGTTAGCGTAATGGCTATGTCGCTGGATTCCCGCATAGTCGACCGCGGTTTGCGTCCCGGACCCGGTGGCTTAAAACTCATGCTGGGCGCGTGTGCGTGCCCAAGATCCCGAGAGGAGAATGGAGGAGAAGCGATTGCGGCGTGGCCATCCCCCCTGGGGGGTGATTTCTTGCTTTCTGTCTCTCTGTCTCTCTCTGTCTGGTGAGCACACACGCCCTATAGCAAAAAAAAAAAAAAAAAAAAAAAAAGGAATCTCATTTCTTCCTGGATGATTTTAGAATTTTCTAAACCCAGGTGCTTTTATTTTGCTGGAATCTATCTACAGCAGACAAATGAACAAAGACTGATAAGGCAGGGTTGTTATATTTAGGTTGCCTTTTTTTTTTTTAAGTCTGAAAACAGCCACTCTGTTTATTTGCTGACCAGATTACAAAAATAATCATGATGGATACCTTAGTTCATCTTTCTAATAAGTCTGTTGATCTGATCTTCCCTGTTGTCAGCATCTCTCCTTTTCCTTTCATTCCACCTCCTGGAGAAGATAATTTGAAGGGCCACAGGAAGTTACTTGCTTCTTTGAAGTTTTTTCCAACAGTATAGATTTCATGAATCAGATCCTCCATGCAGATGATGTCAAATTTACCAGGAGATCGAGCAATCAGAGTTATCTGTGAAAGCAATTCACTTCTTAATGATTTGGTCATAACCACGATTGTAGATCAGTTCAATTACTGACTTCAGGTTGGGGTACCCCCATGCATTATGTGGTTCCACAATTCTCAGCATGTTAATTGAGGCCTTGTTGAGCTTAACAAAGGTGCCATTGAAGATCTGGCAAAGACAAAGAAGCTGCAGTACCTTTAGAACTTTTGGGCTCACTCCATTGATACCCGGATCCTGATGACAAATGCCAATTTGCGTTCTGCAGGTACATGGAAGTTGCCAACTTCTCTTGCCATCCTGGCCATGCGAATTTCAGTTCTGTACATCTGTCTATATTCTTTATGATAGGGTTTATTTTTTTCATAGATAAGCTTCCTCCTTGCCTTTCAAAGCATCTTTTGAGCAAACTTCTTTCTCAGGCTCTTGATCTTTTTTTTTGGGGGGGTGGGGGCGGGGGCGGGGAGAGATTTTTGCTATAGGGCATGTGTGCTTGCCAGACAGACAGAGGCAGACAGAGAGACAGAAAGCGAGAAATCACCCCCCAAGGGAGATGGCCATGCCGCAGTCTCTTCTCCTCCATTCTCCTCTCGGGATCTTGGGCATGCACGCACATGCACCCAGCGTGAGGTTTAAGCCACCGGGTCCGGGACGCAAACCGTAGTAGACTACATGGGAGTCCAGCGACATAGCCATTACGCTAATTGCTGGTCCCTCAGGCTCTTGATCTTAAGTTCCACAAAATTCCTTCACTTTTTCTTAAGGGTTTCTGGCACAGCAGGAACCTTTTTCTTGGTGACTTCTGGCTCAGCAGGAGCAACCTTTTTTTTTTCCTCTTGAGCACATGGTTCCAGCCAGCTAGGCTGCCATATTTCTAAACTTCCACAAGATGGGAGTATTTTAAAGCTTTACTGTGTTTTTCTGATCATTATCTTTTTTGGTTCATGAGGTGATAGAATCTTGGTGTCCTCGGGCAGTACCTGGGGTCTCAGCAAAGTAAACCACACTCTGTTTCAGCTGTTGGGAATCTGTACACATGAAACTGAAAAAGGGAAATGGATATTGAAGCAAGAGAGTTAATAGCTGTTTGTAACTGTTATGTGGAGTATTTGAAAAGAAGCATGTAGTGTAAAGTGGAATGATTATTGGAATAAAATTCCAGTGTTTTGAATGAATGCAGTCTCTTTCTTTTGTTTCTAAGGCTCTCCAAGGTGAAACCTGATCTCGATTCACCATTATCTTGACCTTTGATTCCTACAGAAATTCAGTGAAAGTCCAGCTGCCTCTGGTGCATATTGAAGGTTGCTAATCTAACTTTCTTTGTTGTCTTTGATCCCTCAGGCAAATAGATACATTTTTGTGTCCTGGGGCAGAAATCACAGTTACAGAAATTCAGATTACAGTTGGTGCAATATGCTAAGGTAGAGAGCATTAGAGAGCAAATGGGCAGTCAAGTGTGTGTCCTAGCTATCATGGACAAAAGCCCATTTGCAAAGAAATCTATTACTTTTT